ATGAGAAATGAGTTTTCAAAACAGTTCATCATCTCTGAGCTTCATTTACCATCATTAAAGGCCGATTATCAGAATTAACAGAACCACCCGATATCTCGCGGCAACAGGAAAACAGGAGAACTTAGCAATAATTAATCATTAGTTTGTCCTCTCTTGTTAAAAACATGAAACTCTAGCTCGGGTATTCTTACTTATCACCAAAAAGTAGAGCTTCGCCAGTTTCCGAATCTTTCGCAATCGTAACGCTCACTCCATCCTTTACCGTTTTTATTACTCTTTGAACACATAAGTTCCTCCACAATTTTATGAAATTTTCGGGGGCAAATGTGCACTTTTGAAGACTAGTTTTACATGTGTGGTAAATTAATATTGGAGTAAAGATATGAAGTTTCAATTCGTTGAGCTCTGCCTTCACAGGCGTCCCTGGAACAAAAAGGCTCGTCAAATTGCGGTGGAGCAAGTGTGTCTAATAGTAGTCAAAGGGTGAATCACCTCAATGCGTTTCAAAAACTATTACAGAAACTCATTTTACTGTAGTCTGTACCTTCAGGGTCACGGGAGGGAATGATAGACGTAACTTTATTAGTTTGAACCGAAGATGAAAAAATGTAGCGAAGCAACAAAACCAACAATCTGCATTACTTTCGAGTCTTACCCTAATATGTATATCTCACAAATTATTCACAACGTTGTCAACATAATTTAAGCGATGTGTGGATCGCTGTCCCAATACACTTTCCCACAACACCCACAAATGAAGAAAACGTTTCCTGGCCACGATACAACTTGCTCAGGTACCTGAATTTAAGATTGGGAAAAATTATGAATTCTTTCACTATCAGATTGTTAGAAGTCGTGGAAAAGTACCAAATGCAAGATTACAACAAAAGTGGGTACACTTACTCGTCGCACGATGACATCAACGCCCTCTTCGAGATGATCATGAGTCACAATGTTTGCTCTGAAAACAATACATTCGTCTCCACAACTATATTTCTGGTAAAGAAATGATATACATAACTGAAGTAACGGCAAGGGAAACTTACATTATGTCCACAGTCCCTCCGTGGCATTCCACAACCATGTCATTATCATTGCACAATATTAAGCGACAGCCGACACCAGAGTACTCCCGTGGATCGATGGAACGGAGCCTTTCGGACCATCCTAGAATTGACAGCCATCTCCCAAACTAATTACTCGTACCGTGTCAAAGCATCGATCATCCTCGACTTCGATTCCAGGTCTAATGTGGTCGTGCGCAACCCGAGCCAGACGGTGCTCGACGAACCTTGAAATTTTTGAGTGCGGCCGTACTACAAATTACAGGCACTTTAGCGCAAGTCATCATAGCAGCTGACCACAGAACACACTACGTAAGGGCAAAAATGACCCAATTACCACTACCCTCCAAAGCCTGCAAAAAAGGTGTCCGCTCTAATCTAGCGCAGTAATAGGAAATCATAGATCCATTTTCAAACCAACTGAGCTATACCTTCACTGAAGACATTAAAACGCTGCCAAAGAGTGTTACAGAAGGCAGTAGACAAGTGAACCATGAGTTGCGCAGTTCTCAACGAGATTCGTGTTCAAGCTTTTGGAGGGGAAGGTACGCAGTTAGGGTGGTAAAGGTGGAAAGGTCAAACAGAGGGTCTTATCTGTGAAAATCGGTGAGGTCGCGGTTGCAGGAGAGGGAGTACTTTTCGACGTGTTTTTGATGATTTTGCGTTTTTACCGGAAATTTTGGGAATAAGTATGAAATGGTCAGAAATTAGAACATATCTCTCCAGCCATATTTTCGACTCACCAGCGAAGTCGAAAAGCTCATCATGAAAACCGCTCCGGCAAACGACAACGTTTTCAAAAAGGGCTTGAATCACTGGACCTGGCACTTTTACGAAACAAATACCATTACACTCCTGCAGAAGAAAAACCTATTGGAACGGCGATACAATTCGTCTATAAATTCTGAGACAATACGAAATGAAGTTTAATCTGTGTCGAAGATTTTCTCAAGTACCAAACAATCTAAGAAAAGAAAACTAACCATACAACGTGAGAACACGTCCAAGTTTGACAGTGATACTTTGTACCTAGTAAAAACATATTTCAGTTGCTCAATAGGATTCAGGGAGCAAACATTTGGAATGCACAGCACTCGAGAGGGGAACAATTGCTTCAACTGTAAAGATATGGAATTAGGGAATAACAAAATGGTCCTGTTGGACGCACCTCGTCAAAAGCTTTCCCGCTGGTCAAAATGATCCTTTCGCTGCCGCTAGCCCTGCATTTCAGTTCATGCCTATTCTCGGGAATTAGCACATTTACACCGCATCGTCTGTAAAGATAAGAATGTCGAAGGCAACAAATCTCTGAAAAGTCTGAGACAAGCTTACCTCATGTGTTTACCAAGCCCAAACAGCATAGAATCTACGATACACTGCAATTCGGTTGCTTGTCGCGTGCCCGTCAACACATCTTCTAGTTTCTGCAGAAAGACAAACCTTCAAAGACCTACCATCTAGAATGAATTAAGAGGCTGACCACTTCAAGAATGATCAATTGTACATCGTTACCTCGCAAATTTCTGACCAAGACATGTCATCAATCTTCATTCGCTCTTTCTTTGACTTTGTTCTTTCCTTCTTTTTTGCAGTCACGCTGGACCTTTGCACTACTGCATGAAAATCGATGCCACGGGCTCTGAAATATAGTTTGAGAACAGATAAGGTCGTTGTCTATTCTAGCATACATTATATGAGCATTTTGTGACACATTTGCCAACCAGGTTTCTCAAAGTGGTCCTGCTTAGGCCTTATTTTCAGGCCGGTCAAGCACATTATGTTGATGAAGCCACATTGCTAAATGTTTATACAAGAAAAATGAATCAATCTTGATTTCTGACTGCGATCAACGCACGAACGTTGACATGTTTGGATGCTTCTATGCCTACCCATCCTCAATATTCTATACATTTCTCCGCAATAGCATAAGAGAACGTCTCACTGCACGGAACGGGTCGTTCGCAGCTCCTTGGTGAATTACGCACCCACTCAACACAGGTCACCTGGCCCCATTGTGCGCCTCAACGTGACCGTGTCTCCCTTCTCATCCCGACAAATGTGGCTAGATAGGACACCCATCCCTCGCCAAAGTCCCATATTGTGATGATACTACCGCACAAGCCACAAGAAAGTAGGACAAACTTTTGGCTACCAAAATATCCAGTTAATGCAGCTGTTTGATTATAACGCTATGCGACAGAGATAAAAGCAAAATAAGTCTCACTGCTCGAAAAGACCGGTTGATAAATAAAATATTCTTGTTGCGAAAACAGTCTCGAAGTATAACATCAAAATTTGAATTAAGAATAAAATTTACAAGAATCCCATTTCACCGCCATGAACAACATTTGTGGTATTGTTAATAGAGAGATAGGATTTGACTCACTCGGCCGATGCCTTCAGTTTTGAAAACAGTTCCACAACTATGTAAGCATCCATCGCCGCGTAGCGTTTCTGATTCGCCCGCAAAGGGCGAATTGCCCAATTGCTGCACTGAAAGTTTCAACATCCACGAGATAGCAAATCATTAGCAGTACCAGCAATTTTTGCGAACAGTAGCCTTCTGTGGAGCATGCTGTATAAGATCACACAAACACAGGCAAGTTCCACTCGAGCTTTGACACTATAGAATACGCACGGAAGCCCAAAATGAACATTTTCTAAATTCCCTTTGCAAAAATCTCTCCACCATCCAAATGGAAATCGTGTTCTGTTTCGAATACTGAGAACTATGAATAGTTAATAATTACAGTGAAAAAGTCAATCATGCACCTGTTCAGACTTGT